TTGGCATTTCTGGAAATTTGCATAATATTCGGCTGAGCAAGAGGAGTTTGTTCCATGAGAAGAAATACCTGGAAGTAAACAGATTTCTGAACTAGCCGAGAGCAGGCAGAAAACGTCAACATCCAAGGAGCAAAGAGCCAGCAGATCTTCCTGCCGATCTGTCCTGGACAAGGACTATGACCGTGGTGACACTGGACATCCACAGAATTTCAGAGTGCTGAAGGCTTTATGACAATTAGAATCACAATTAGATACTGGATTCTCAGAGAGGCCAGAGTGTTCAGTACTTACATAGGATAAAGAGGTAACATTTAAAATGTGTATCCCTGGAGAGATGAGCTACTAGTAAATTAATCATCTTCTTCTTTGCCTCTCTCAGCATCTCTACATCGTTTATTGTAGCTTTGGCATCCCACCCCCACTGCTAATTTTCTTCTTGAGCTTTGTCCTCAATTTCTGATGGTACGATGCAATATTAGAAGCAGGAAAGGAAAAGGGGGGAAGGAAAGGATAACTGAAAAATTCCCATGGATCTAAATTAGAGAAATAACCTCAGACATACTGGCAGTGGAGGTGCTGGAGCATGCTGGAGAGACATTGATCTTGGAGTCATATGGCCATGGTTCAAGACCCAGCTCTGCTACTTACTCACAAGGGACCCTGGCTGCTCTCTTAACCTCCATGAGCTGTACTTATCTAATTTGCAAACCGAGGAGAACAGTCACTGTGCTGCCGCCTCCCAGGGCTTGTTGTAAGGGTCAAATGAGGCAAAGATTGTGACCGGTGCTGTAAAGTGCTAAATAAATGCATGTTATCCCTGGTATATTTCTTAGCTTGTCACACTGAAGACCCTCATCCCTCCAGGGAACTGTTCCCAATTACTGTCCATTCCAAGTCATCTGGACAGTGTCTGACTCATTCCCCACCCCGATCTGCTTGAAGGGGGCTTTATGATCACTGCCTTCAGATGCCATTGCATTCGCTGTATCAATCTGTTCTTCCATTCATTTTATAAACATTTGCTGAATGCCTAGTATGCCTCAGACAGTGTGCTATGTACTGGGGATAGATATAAATAAATTATGGTCCCTGCTGTTCTGTAGGAATAGTTAATTTCAGAAACTTTACCTACTCTTGTGTTATTAGGTATGTCATATGAATGCCAAATATACCTCTTCTGATGCTGAGTTACATCAGAACCTTCTGATGCTGAGTTCTGATGCTGATGCTACAGCACCTGTGTAATGTTTGTGCTTTCTTTGCCCCTAAACATAGCAAGACTAATGCTTTCCTATCTTAGTGGCCCAGGATCCCAATTCCATGATTACTAGCCAGGCCGTCGACATTTCCTCAAACTCAAAAATGGAGGTGATATCCTTTTAATTCTTCCTCTTTTAAGGCATTAAGATTAATCATCTCAATTTCCCTTGGACAATATATCCCGGAAGAATCTTCTCCATATCCACAGGTAGAGGTACAACCCACTTACATCATACATTTGGGTGATGGGAGTAATCTTCTCCCTGATACTTCTGCTTCTTTCCGCTTCACTCCATCCCCAACAGGGCTGCCATTGATTTTCCTACCTGACTAATCTGACTCCACAGCAACACCTCTCTCTTACTCTGGATTTTCTTAATACCTAAGTATACAGTCTAGGTCACATTATCATACATACTCACATGGTGCTTTTTAAAATCATTCCCTCAGCGGTCAAGATGTGTTGTGGGTATTAGTGATAGTATTTTAACGAATGCAGCTTCTCTTGAAGAGGACTTGGAAATTAATTCTATCAGATATGCGGCAAAGGCCACCTTATAAAACAGTAAAGGACAGGCTCTGAGGTTAGTGACAGACTCTGAGTTCCTCACATTGCAGCAGCGGGGAGCAGCAAAGCCAAGGCCCCATGGGACTGCTCTCCCTTACGCTAATGGCACTTGGTTGGCAGAGGTGATGAGATTCTAACATTCTCAAATGGACAGAAGATAAATAAACATCTTCTCTCTCTCTCTCCCTCTACCCTTCTTTCTCTAAACAGACAAGTTGCAATTCGGAAATTTTTCAGTTTTTCTCATTGCAAAATCAATACCCATCAGCAGTTTGAAATTAAAGGCAAGATTAGGCCTCAGTTTTATACATGCCTTATTGTATTCCAAAAGCTTTCTACTCAGTCAGATAAATCTTCTTTAAGAGGATTAGGAAACTTTCATTATCTTTATCTAACCTGAACTAACACTAAGCCTGAAAAATTAATCTATAGACTGGACAAAAGCCGATAGCTGCTGGGAAGAAGGAGGACTCTTGGACTTCTTTCTAATTGAGCAGTGGGGTCTCTGCCTCCACCCACTAGAAATTCAACTCGTCTCCAAAGAAAGAACAAGTCACCCATTGCTAACCAAGACAGAAGAGAATGCAGCTCCCTGAGTGCCTTTCTTTTACCTCTCAGTAAATGTAAAGGCCCATCTGCTAAGTGTTCCAAGGGAAGGTTGTCCCCTCCTACGTCCACCCACCTTGATCTTTTGCTTTGAATGTCACACCTTAGTCACCCAGAGCTACAAGAGTCACTTGGCCTGCAATGTGGAGACTGTGAGGAAGTGACCTCTGAAACTTAAGTCACTCCATGGGTCTGCTCTTGCCTCTTCGCAGACTCTTTCTGACCCAAGCCTATGAGGTCCATAGGGAGACATCACTGGCTTCCATATCCAGCCCAAGAAATTGCTCCGAGGGCCTTATGAAGCACACTATCCCGGAAGCTCCACATCACTAGCCCTTTATGGCCTGTATTGACTTTGACACGCTTACACAATCTGTCTTATTTCCTGAAAAGTGATAGCCTTGTTCTGTTTGAGTCTGTTTCTGTACAGTGCCTGACAGTTCTTTTTTATTTCAGTGCTGCATTTCCTGAATTTGAAGATAACTTTGCTGTCAAGGCCACGAAGGTGCCATGGAGGTGTCACTTCCAATGTTGAGAATTTCAGCTCCTCTGGAACTAGGCCCAGGTGGCAGGCGGGGTAGTGAGAACTCACACTCCCTTGTTTTCGGCACCCCTAGAAACTTTCAACAGACATTCCAGCTCATCTCAGATAACTGATCTCACCAAGTGCTTCCACCATCCTCTGAGAAGAAGCATCAGACATGACAGTTGTCTTAATCTCCAGATGGCAGGCCGTCTTGTAGCTCCAAAGCAGTGATCATCACCAAGCCATACCCCTGGGTGGGACACGCATGGAGAATGGAAACAGCAGAGTGTATAGGCATCTGTGGTAGGCAGGCCAATGTGGGTGTCTGAAAGCACTTGGAGATGAGAGAAGGGCTTGGAGGCCAAACTGAGGCTGGGCTTCAAGCAATATGGCAGCACCCAGGGCCTTCTGGGAAAGAGAGCTGCAGCAGACTGATCTCTGGTCCAGCACATGCCATTACAAATGTCTCAAGAACCAGAAACCTGGATGCTGTGCTAGCAAAGAGCTGTTTTAGCTAAAAGAAAGAATGGCCACCCTGATTTATACAAGTGAATGAAGTGTGAAAAGACACTACCACTACTCAAATTCTTCATTAAACCAACTGAAATGAATAAAGTAATTTTTTTAGAAAAGTAGAGGTAAAGGCATTCATATTAGCTAAGCCAAGATACAACACACATTTCACAAACTGAAAACGATTTGTCAAATCTACTCCAGATGGGAACTGATAAAAGGCACTTATTAAAGCCTGAATCACACACAGGGACTCTCTCTGAGAGCTCAGTGTATAGTTCCAAGAGGTCAGTATAGGAGACTGTGAGAAAGGCCCACCCAAGTCTCTCATTTGGTGGAGAAAGGCTGTGTCACTGGGGGACAGCAAGTGGTCTCCTCAGCACTTCATTGCTACCGTGAGTCAATGCCTGAGAGAAATTGCTTTACATAGCAGTGGTGGGTTGGGGGTGGGGGGTGATGTTAATTGGGGGCGGTTCAAAATAAGTTAATTTGTATCGCTGCCTTGTTTTAAAATGGCTCCCAAATTCTCATAGTTGCTATTTGAATGTGTTTTTAATTCCAAATAATTAATAGTTAATATCTGGGATTCTGACATTTCCTCAGCCTTAGTTTTGTTCCTACAATGTAAAACTCTAATGAAAAAGGTATTGCACAATATGTTTGGGTATACTGACACAGGTTTTTAAACAGAGAATGAGAAAGAATGTTAGGGAACACCTCCCCTTTTTAAAAATTATATAGATATATTTCTGACATAGACCTGGAGATAGCATTTTCACTAGTATCCCTCTGTCTCTATATTTTTTATAATTTTTTAAAATTTATTTCTGAGAGAGAGAGAGAGAGCACGAGCAGGGGAAGGTCAGAGAGAGAGGGAGACACAGAATCTGAAACAGCCCCCTGAGCTGTCAGCACAGAGACCGACACGGGGCTTGAACCCAAAAACCGTGAGATCATGACCTGAGCCAAAGTCGGACGCTTAACCGACTGAGCCATCCAGGCACCCCAGTATCCCTCTTAATATATGCTCCATTGTGAGGCTAAAGGGATGCCCAGACCACAAACCGGGCTGGGGTGGACTTGACCACAGTACCCAGAACCCCTTCTGGAACGTGCAACAGCAACCATGCAAAAGCAGTCACAAGTCCTCTAATGTCACATCAGTGTTAACCTTTTATTATGAAATAATCCTATGAAGATAATTAAAAGGCACAGAGAGTAATGCCACCTCTTTTTTTTAATGTGTCTTACCCTACTTCAGAGCTCTCAGTAACTTAAAGCTCAACAAGCACATGCCAAACAACTTATTAACAAGAACAGAAGGGCCAGAGGTACAATCAAGAGACTGTGAAGATATTCAGTACTTAGTCAAGAATCCAGCAGATGGGAAGAAATCCAGCAATCTCTGGGTTCTGCAGTGGAAAATGTTTCTCATGTCTTCATATATGAGTAGAAGCAAAGACTGAAATAATGTTTCCCTTCCATCATTGACAGGCCCACCAAGCTCTGAATGCAGCTGTAACTCACCTTGCACTATGAGGTGGACTCGGGAAGTTTTCGGGTGGTTGTCCGTCTGCACAGAGCAGGTGTATGGACCCTCGTCATATACATCCACGTTCTGGATCATGATGCTGTACTGGGTTGGTGTGTTGACCAGGATGATCACACGAGGGTCTATGGACCACTTGTCATTCCCAGCATAGAGGATGGTGCTGCGGTTTAGCCAGGCCACTCGGGTGACTCGATCATCTATGGTACACCTGTGAGTGAGGAGGGTGGGAATGGAGATGGAGGACATTGGGATAGGGGAGGGGGATAGGGGAGGGAAACATTGAGGAAGGGAAGTGGGGAAGGGAAGAAGAGAGTGTTGAGAGACTGCATCATAAATGTGGTTGTTGTGTTCTGAGGGGTAAATGAAACAACACAGGCCTATACTAAAAAAAAAAAAAAAAATCACTTATTGATGAAACTTCTAAAGTATAGGGTAACAGTGGCCTCAATTATCCTGAAGACACCATGATATAAATTTGTTTCAGTTTGGTTTGGAGCATATTATGTGACGAACTTTGCCGTATATTTGCTTTCCATCTTATTTTTCCCCCCAGGCTTATATGAAAATTAGTTTATATTTCTTGAGCACATTTACCACCTTGTGGGAGACATGGCCCAGGGGCATAGGGGCAAGAAAATGGATCAGTATTTCAAATAGGTCACAGATAATCCACAAAGCAAACACTTAACTTGTTGTTAGACAAAACTTGAACATATTTACCACCAGCCCTCCCTGATATTGATAATCTCCTTGTACCCCTAAGCTACCCAAAGCCTGCAAACTACAATTTATAACATGGATTGATAAAATTCACCTTAGAAAGCCAAAAATTTTTGAGAAAGTCATGGCTGCTTCTGAAGATGTCAGCAGAAGGAAGAAGAAAGTGATCAGAGTTCCTCTTCCCTCCTGCTGCCACCCTCTACCTACCCCCAACCCAGAGAACAAGGTGGCTGATGTCACCTTGGTTATCATAATGGTAAAAAGCTAATCTCAAAAAAAAATAACTAATCTCTACCTCTTCATACCTCGCACATACTCATCCTAACAATTGGGAGCTATAAATGAAAGTAGAATTTGTTTTTTGCTACGTATGACTTGCAGGCTATCAGGTCTAATAAAGAAATAGATAATACCTGCTGGTCAGAAAGAAAATTTACTTATGTGCTCCAGGATTTTTGCAATCTATTGAAAGAAAATAGAAGAGAATCCCTTGTAAATGTGGGCTTGCAAAGAAGGGTGTGGTTCAAGGGCCCTGGCTATGCCCACCTGCCACTCACCACTCTAGTCTAAGCCTGAATTGCAGTATCTGGGCAAATAAGGAGGTCCAATTATAGCTGCACTGCTTCTGTAAGATGTCCTAGCAAACAGATTCGAGGCTCGCCTTCTGGGCACAAGGAACATGAATCCAGCCCCTCCAGATGAGAAGACAGAAAAAACACTGCCTCATCTCACCAAATCTGATCCCATTTTGACTGAAAGTAGAGATCCTTCCGACAAGGCTCAGGAGACAAGAACACCAAAGACACTGGCAATGGACGATAGAGCATGCACTTTTGGACATGCTGTTTTCTCTTAGCGACAGGGCCAGCCAGACACAGCCTGAATGACTATGGGAGCAGAATAATACTAGAGTACTAAAATGGCAGATTCTGTTGAAAGGGGAAAATGCCCAGTCCCGCAAAGTATTCTCCTTGGTAGGCAGGACACACAGAAGTAATACTAGCTTCCAATCACAGAGGTCTTTGTACCTACGGTCCACCTGTCATTCAGCAGGTTACGGCAGCTTTGAGTTAGGGGTGGAGTGATAATTAGATGCTTTCACGGGATGGCAGGAAGGAAATGTTCTCTTCTAAATTTTCTTTATTTGCTGTTTTTTAAACTACAAAAATAAAATAAGCATGTTTAAACGTGTAAATAAATGAGGTCCTTAATTTCCTAACACTCTTACTTCTTTCACATCTCACTCTTTACATACATATTTTCACATAAATAAAGACTGTTGATTTCTTTACCTGAAATATAATCATACTAATATTCCTATTAAGTTTTCTTTTTGTTTTTGTAACTTGACCACAGCTATCCCTGAACACCAGTAGTTATAGATCTATTTTTATTTTTTTTTCTTTTTTGAGAGAGAGAGAAAGAGAGAGAGAGAGCACAAGTGGGGAAGAGAGGAAGAGGGAAAGGGAGAGAGAATCTCAAGCAGGCTCCATGCTCAGGATGGAGCCTGACAGAGGGCTTGATCCCATGACCCTGGGATCATGACCTGAGCCAAAATGAAGAATCAAATGCTCAACTGACAGAACTACCGAGGTGCCCCTATTTTTGTAATTATTTCTAAGGAAGTCTAAGGTCAGCAAATTGAGTTTTGGAGGCCCAACTGCATTTACCATTAGATTGTTATAATTATCATTGAGTGACTCTTTGCCACCTTCACAGGTGTGTCATAGTGATAAAAAAAAAATTGAAGTTCTGCGGTTACCTTCATATCCTGAGACCCTAGCTTCACTCTCTGCAGTTTTCTCCTTCTAGAGCAACTTTCCATTTCCCTTATGCAAACTAAAAATCCCTAATGGACCTTTTACTCTACCCTTTTAAAAGCATTTCTTAGGGGAAAAAAAGAAAAAATAAATAAACACATTCATTCACTCTCAGTTGCAATTGATTGATAAGGGTTCCTGTGAAACCTTTCTTCATAACAAATGTGTTTTCATAAACACCAAATCTCTATTTGAATAACTCCTGACAATGAAGTTCTAACTGTTCAGTGCCAGGAACTGGCAAGCCTGGAAGTGGATGGTAAATTGGGAAAGAGTAAAGGCAGTCACTTTCTAGTCCCCAGAACCACAAAAACCCAGGTGACAAAGTGCAAACAAATATTCTTGCTTTTATTTTGGTCAATTATGTAACCTCTTGAACATTTTAGGTTGATGTATTTTTTTATTTCTTAAATTTATTTTTGAGAAGGCACGAGTCAGGGAGGGACAGAGAGAGAGGGACAGAGGATCTGAAGTGGGCTCAGCTCGGACAGCAGCAAGCATGATGTGGGGCTTGAACTCATGAACTGTGATATCATGACCTAGTGAAAGTTGGAAACTCACCCAACTGAGCCACGGAGGTGCCCCTAAGTTTATATAATTTTCAATATTTAAGTTAAAAGGATGCACTGCTTGCCTGTGGAGAATACTCACAATTTTAAACTTAAAATGTCACAATATTCCTTAGTATATTATATATATATTCAATAAAATTTAAATGCAATATTGATTTGATTATCTAGTTTCAAAGTTCATAAACAGTTATTTATTAGTTATAAAATATGGATTGTTCCTTTTTAAAACTTGAACTTGTGTTTTCAATAAATGTCTTCTGCAGGATTTGTCTTGATGTAATCTTTCATACCTAAAAACCTTTTATTGATCAGCTACCCTCTTTATTTGCAAATATACAGAGAAAGATGGAAATTGAAATTTCTTTTATGTTCTATGATCATAAAGCTCTGAGTAATGCTATTTTCTTTTAGAATGAGCTATTACAAAGACAATATTGATAAAACAATGTAAATATATTATTTGCTTCATTAAGTAATAATTAAACATAAAAAGTAAACTTTTACTGGAAATATAGTACTTAATGAGGTAGATGGGGTTTTTTAAATTACTTTGAGGGAAGCATGGGTGGCTCAGTAAGTTAAGTGTCTGAGTCTTGAATTCAACTCAGGTCATGATTTCATGGTTAATGAGTTTGAGCCCTGCATTAGGCTCCATGCTGTCAGCCTGGAAACTGCTTGGGATTCTCTCTCTCCCTCTCCCTCTGTCCCACCCCTGCTCCCCTGCTTTCCCTCCCTCCCTCTCAGAATAAACTGAAAAAAATAAAAATAAAAATAAAATGATATCTTGAATAAATATCCTTACTGCTAGAATAGGATAGAGTTCAGGCCTGATTCAATTTCTATTTTTGTTTGAGAGAAACCTAGTTCACATAAGCGATGGAGAGTCTTGTATAGCAGTGCCACTCAATTCTTTGAACCTCTTCCAAGATATGTGCCAAAAATCACACAGAAATATAGCTTCAAAAATTATTTTAATGATCTCACAGCTGACAATTCAATTAGTTCCTCTTTCAGTTTCTTTTAAAGCAATGAATTGAAAAATACCTGACTTGCAAAGGGCTTTGTAACTCGGTATTAAATTCATTCAATTTCATAATCTGGGCCATATATTGTTAACATTTTACCAGGCCTTATCAAATGACTATTAAAGATATGTTTCTCTTTTACTTAGAAGGAACTTCTTTAAACTAACACAGACAGAAGGGTGGGTAAAATTGAATGCCGTTTATTTTAATATGCCAAGTCATATTGTTCTCTACCAGAAAATGTCTCTTTCTTTGATTCTAAGATAGACAAGGTATCTTCTTTGCCATGATACCTTTGCCCTTTGCCTTCATTACATCTAAGCTTTACTTTGGTAAGTTCTCTTTCAAGAGTGGTTTTTTTTTGTTTGGTTTGGTTTGGTTTGGTTTTGTTTTTTGGTAATAGTTGGATGGTTGTGACAAATAAAGGTAAAGTCTTTCCTGGGCAATTTATAAAAGGGGAACATTCAGAAAGGATCATTAGAATTACAATTCAATCTCAGTTATTTTCTTAGGCAGATTGATTTAAGAAATCTGAGATCCTGAATGTATCCTCTTAAGTGCATGGAACCGGTACAAGTTACCAAGGTCTTACAGGGACTGACTTTGAAACAGGTCAGTCCAAATCTATCCTCCAGGGGCAAAACATACTCTCAGTGCCCTGCCACACAGCCTTTGGAAAGTCTCATGCACTCCTTTGGTAGATGTACCCCAGGCAGATGTCCACAGCCCAATTTACCTGCAGTCAAACATGAGCCTCATTAGTAGGCATGGGCAGGGACAAATAGAATGGAATAACTATATAAATCTATCTCTTCAAATGGGGCAGAGCTGATTCATTGAGTCTATACAGTCTTAGAACCGAAGAATGATAAAGATCCTTGTGAGAATGGTGATGTTGGTTGAGGGGAAAGAAGGAAGCATAACAGGTATCAGCAGGAAGAAGAGTTCAGAGAATACCTTTTTTAAAAACATGCTTAAGTGTTCTTCCAAACCTGGCTCCTTCCCTGCTGTTTATGGCTGTGTTGGACTCTCATTAACAGGAAGCACAGGGAGGAGAGTTTTTTATGTTAAATAAGGGCATGCAAGAGGAAAATCAAGAGACATGAATGATAACTTTCTAATTTCTTGAAACCTCTTTTAGGTCTCTAAAATTCTTACCCTTAAGCAAATCCTATCTAGTGGTTCTTGATAAGATAGAATTCATTACAACTCAATGATAACGTCTAAAATTACATAGTGCTTATTGGTGCCTAGCACAGTTTAAGAACTTTCCATATATTAAATCACCTTAGCCTCATAACTACCCTTTGATACATGGTCTCTTATTACCATTCTTTACAGATCACGAAACTGAGATGCAGAGAGCTTCAATACTCTGAACAGTTGGTACAACCAGAGTAGAGGATTTACACCTATCCAGCATGGTGAAGAATTCCTGCACTTAAGGGCTGTTGGCTTCGCCTCAAAAAGAAAGTGCTTGTGGCTCAAGAATCAAAGTAATAAGGCCAGGAGGAGATGTTTGGCATTATCCAGTTTCTCACGAATTTATGGTATTCAGTTTTTAATTTTAGCATTTAATTTTCTCATAAGAGATAAAATAGCTTGGGAGAACAAGAAAGATGTTTGGAAATGACTTTTGTACATCCTTAAACCACCTCTAGCTATTTGTGAAGAGTGGAAATACTCAGAAAGGGCAAAGAAATGCCAAAAGCTATTGGAAGAAAGGAACCTTACAGGCAAAGTTGTCATTTCCAATTCCACTAAATATGGGTCATGAGGTTAAGATGCAGGGTCATTTTGTTTTCTTATTAAGGAAGAAGTGCAGATAGAGGAAATCCATGCTTTCAAGAAGTGGTTCTCAAACTTTACTGTGCATCAGATTCACTCTGAGAACTCTTTAAAATACAGATTGCTGGGGCGCCTGGGTGGCTTAGTCGGTTAAGCGTCCAACTTTCGCTTAGGTCATGATCGCGGTTCGTGGGTTTGAGCCCTGCGTCGGGCTCTGTGCTGACTGCCAGCTCGGAGCCTGGAGCCTGTTTCAGTCTGTGACTCCCTCTCTCTCTGACCCTCCCCTGCTCACGCTGTCTCTCTCTCTCTCTCCTAGAAATGAATAAAAAATATTTTTAAAAAAATAAAATAAAATACAGATTGCTGAGCCCAACTACCAAGTGCTTCCGATTCAGTGGGTTGGAAGTGGGGCTGAGAATCTGCATTTTCAAGTTCCCAGATGAGGCTCATGCTGCTGGTCTGGGGACTTCTCTTTGACAACCACCGCCTTTAAGAAAACAGACAAGAGACAAGTTGAAATTCAATCAAAATAAAATCTTTCTGAAAAGTGAAATTAGCCAGCTTTAAGGTTTTCGTTTGTGTTCTTTAGGTTTGCTTTTGTTTTTATATTTTGCCTCTGAAAATACAAAATAAAAACCCACCATGATTCACATAACAGATATTTAATAATTATCTAAGGTACACTAGACAATGTTCCAGGAGCTGAGAATGCTAGCTGGCAAACAGGCAAAGGTCATGGTCCTTGAGGCTATGTCCAGTGAGACAAAGAAAGCATATAAGTAAATAAACATGTTAGTTTCAGAGGATGGCAAGTGGCAAATGCAAAGCAGGTTAACGAATGGTGAATGCCAGGGGGACTGAGAGCATATTTGGTACAGAGGAGTCAATAACGCCCTCTGGGGCTTGCATGCTAGATGCTGAAGTTTTTACAACCTAAATCTGAATGCAGTACTGTGCACGTGTGTACTTAAAAACAAAAGTCCCATCTCAATTACATACACAGATAGCTGTAGGAGTATTTAGATAACATGGATGACTAGAGAATGAGTATTTCATTAATTAGTTAATTAATTAATAAGAACAAGTATTTTGAACCAGCCTCACAAACAGTGCCTCTCTTGTATGGGTAACTCTGTAGATGTTAGCGTTCAAAAAATTAAAAACTGACATTTTGAGAAACTGAAGTTAACCAGAAAATATCTTTATCTATCCACCCTTGTTATTGGGATAAAACTTAAAATACATTGCATGCTTCTCTACTTTAATGACTAGAATGTAGTGAATAGAGTGAATAACCTCTAACAGACTCATCATTTTAAACTTCCACTCTCTTTGTAATTCAATGTTAAGAGAGAAGATCCTGGACTTCTTCATAGAATGTACAACACTGGATCTAATTATTTACTCACTTATTTTTGGGGGGTTGTAAATACCACATGGATAAGGACCATGTTAGTGGTCTTCATTTTAAAACACCTAAACCTCCCACAGTGGATCTGGCATGTAGTATAGGTGAACAGTACATATTTATAATGATTAAAAGGAGTAAGACAATGTTTTTCAAACTAATATCAAAAAGCCCCACAAAGATTATAGGGGCACCTGGGTGGTTCAGTCAGTTGAGCATCTGACTTCAGCTCAGTTCATGATCTTGTGGTTCTTGAGTTCGAGGCCTGCATTCAGCTCTGTGCTGATAGCTCAGAGCCTGGAGCCTGTTTCACTTTCTGTGTCTCCCTCTTTCCTTGACCTTCCTCCACTCACGCTCTGTCTCTCTTTCTTTCTCTCTAAAATCTAAACATTGAAAAAAGGAAAAATTTTCAAAAAGCCCACAAAGATTATAAATAATGATTTGTTGCAGTGAGAGTAGATCTTCAATCTTCTCACCACAAATAAGACAAGCTAATCGTGTGATCATCGCGATGGTGGTGTTAGCTTTTGCTGGGTGGTAGTCATGTGCAATACACAAATTCATCAAATCAACATGTTGTACACTTCAAACATAAAAATGTTATGTGTCAGTTATAGCTCAATCACACACACACACACACACACACACACACACACACACACACACACAAAGAACTTACATAAGATGAAGTAGACATCCTTGGAGATATTGTGTGTGTGACTCTGTAAGTTATACACACACACACACACACACACACACACACAAACACTCACATCCACCCCATGGGGTTTTTATTTATGTATCTTTTAACTTAGTGTTCTCATTTGTAACATATTCTGGAAAAATATAATATACACATATTCTGGATGTTTTATGACTACAATTATATTTAAATGTTCAGATTTGTGTCTATTATTACAATGGCATCAAAGAGTTTATCTTCTGTTGTTTCAGGCTAATGAGAAAATACAAAGGTGGTTCAGCAGTACACTTCTGCCAAGGAAAGCTGAATGAATGCCAGGGTCCACTATAGTAGCGAAGGTTCTCAAAAGTTGGAATGAAGCCATGTGGAGAGAGAACTCTGTTGTCATATGCCACATAGTAAAGTTAAAAGTGATGCTGTGGCAGCATCCAAGACCATATTCACACTGCAACTTGGAAATTAATTCTAATAAACTTTCATCTGCTCCATTAAATTAATGTTGTTAATTTTAGTGGTTATCTATGTGTATGATTTATAATTTTGGATTTTGGAGTCATTTAAGTGTACAAAGGTTAAGGGATTTATACCTAGTTTTATGATTTTATACATAAATTATTTTTTTAGAGTAATGTTACTACTGGGAAACCCTGAAATCTTGTCTCTGTCCACCCGTGCCCCCTGCCTTTAAAATGGCCTTCTAGAGAGTATTCAATTTAAGAAATGCTGGTAAAGGTGATAGAGTTGAATGTTAAAGCCCAATATGCATTTTCTTTGCATTTTCTTTTTAAATTTACCCATGATATTAATTTTTTGTCTTTGTTTTGAATGTCTTTGTCCTTTTTCATAAATTGAGTTAATTGAATTTCAGCTAAGAACCTTACATGTATCAAAACATATTAATAATACCAGTTTGAAAAATGGGAGGAAGAAGAGCTTGCTTTAGAGAATTCAAAGACCAATAATAAATGATTTTTTTTTTAAAGAAGAGGAGAGGAGGCAAACCAAAATGAAATATTTGCAGCTCAGTTCCCAAGGTGTTCTAAATTGCACAAAGCTGTTCTCCTGGGAAGCTTTAACTACTTGTTTATTTCCTGAGTTACAAATACAGCCAACTCTAGAGCATCAACAAGGACCCTAAATTATGTTAAGGGAAAACTTTATGATTCAGATAGTCAAAAATTCAATAAGAGTAATAACTCTGCTATAACTAATATTTGCTGATAAGGTATTGGTGGAGAATATATTGAGAGCTTCTGCAGAAGAGTTGGGGGGGAATAGAGCTCCTTAGAGAGGGTCCAGTATGGAAATATGTCAGTCCAGCATGAGACTGACTTTGAAGGCTGACAGATACATGACATCTGCAGATTGTTTCTAATTGGAAGAAGGTGCCACACTAACAGTGGCTAGAGTTGGGGAGTTACATTAATATACAGAAAGGGTGCGTGTGTCAGTTTGTGTGCATGTGTGTAAGTGAGGAGGAGTGTCATCCAGAGAAGAGGAGAAAGCATACAAATGCATGTAGGATGGGGACCTTGAGAAGACAGAGCATTTGAAACCAAACTAAGGAAGGTGTGGGGTCTCCTGAAAATGGTGTCACCTGAAGCAGAAAATCAGCTGCAAGATGATGATGTGTTGTGGTTTCAGCCATGACCGATGATATATGAGTCCATCAGAACAGTGCTCATTGTGTCCCGAAGCAAGCAAGAGGAACTTCCCTTCCCCACCAGCACAGTGAGGGCTCTACTGGAATGCAGAGAGCAACTTCACACACCTCCCTACCCAAGTGAGGCAGTCAGGCATAAGGCAGTTCAGAACAGAGCATCTGATAGAAGGAAGGAAAATGAAGGGAGTGATTTATGTGGAAAGATGGCTCTGCAAAGAGGTGAAATTGCTTACAATCACAAAAGAGGGTTAAACTGCATGGCTGTGGGAGGAGAGAGGAGGAGAATTCCTATCATGGTAACAGAAGGTAAAGCATAGGGTAGCTAAACATAATTGTGAAAAGAAAGGGTCAGTAGAAAGCTCTCTGAACAAAACAATAGAAGATTAAGCTGGCTTCTTCCGAGACTTCGTCATTCTGTAAATTCACAGTGTGTCGAGAAGATAAGTATATTGGTTTCCCAAGGAGACAGAAGCAAGACCAAAGTAAAAATGGCAGCCAAAACCATCAAAAGAGACCAGGGCCTGCCTTCAGGATTTTTATGATCTTAGGTGAATGATAGAATACAAGAACATTAAAAAGATACCCTTCATCTTAATGGATATAATAAAAAGTAGAAATTCACCCATTTATAAATATTTATTATGTACCTACTAAGTGTCAGATACTCTACTGGACCTTGTCTCTGTCCTCATGGTATTTTCAGATGGTGGGAGAAACATGCAATCAACAATCTGCGAGATCACTTGTGTACTTGATACAAATTGAACTGGGATGATTGTTGGGACAGTCAAGCACAGGGGACAGCCTGGGAAGACCTGCTCAGATACACAGTCTACAGATGGGCCTTTCTGAACAAGTGAAAATTAACCTAATTTTGAAAACTGAGAACACCAGGTACATGGGCTGGCTACAGAGAGCATTTTAGGTGGAGGACAGGGCAGATGTGCAGACCTTGAGAAAAAGATTGACTCAGGTAAGGAAGAGAATGGATGCTACAGTGGCCCAAGCAAAGCAGATGGGAAAATTGGTAGATTCCATGGGACTGCGAGGTATACATCTCTACTTTAAAAGTCTGTATTATATTCTAGCTATCATGGGGAATCCCTGAAGAGGTTTAAGTGGAGGCATGCCATAATCTAAATGATAGCTTTTTTTTAAATAAGGAAATTCTGGACTTCAATTGAAGAATGAACTGTAGCAGGACAAGAAGCAGAATGACTACTGTATACCTATAGACATGAGAGAAGAATCATGTGACAAGAGGGTCCATAGCCTAAGGAAGGGGTGAGGGAGCCCGAATGAAGAAGGGAGTAAGTCACGAATGGACAGTGACATGTTGATGACAATATCTGCAGCCAACCCTTTCAAGAATACTGTCAGCAAAGGTAGAAAAAGAAACAAAGCCAACAAGGGCATGAGGGTCTCCTGAGAATTTTTTTTTTTGTTTTAATTTGTTAGTTTCTTTCTTTCAGGACTATATATATTTGGGAACTTATTCATTCATTTTATAAATATTTACTGAACACCTACTTGGTCCTGGGACTGTTCAAACTTTTATATGCCTACAAATTACCTGTGCATCTCATGAATTCACTAGGTCTGGGTGGGGACCAACGTTCTGCATTCCTAACAAGTTATGTAATTATGCTGATATTCTGGGGACCACACTTTGAGCAGCCCAAGTTTACATACTAGGGATGCAACTATGAATAAGACAAGGACCTTCTTACATTGCAATATATAAGTATCTACTGATAAGACTGATCTTACTGAATGGGGGTAACTGATGGCTGAAGAGAAAGGGGATATCTCATTGATGTTAATGTAAAGGTGAAAACCTATGGATCTAGAACCCATGACTCCTCAGAAAAGAAAAAATAATGGAAACAGGTATGTTTGTGGATCTGGTCATGGGAAATCAAGGAGGCTACTGAATGATGGTTTCTATTTTCTACCACTCACTACCTCATTTTCCCATCTGTGAAGTAGGATGAACATATTTACTTCACAGCATTATTCAATATTATTATGAGCCTGGATGAAGTAATGTCTGAATGAGAGTCAGAATTGTACCTGGCAAATAGTAAACATTCTTTAAACAGAGATTCTATTACTACTGTCAAAGAACTCTGTTGCTTTATTTAGAAAACTATAATTCAACCTCTATTAACTCAGAGTGTTTGCTAATTTAACAAAGTGATCCTGAATCCATTTATTTATCATATTCCAAGGCATTATGAAACTTTTCTTTCTGTATTTTCAAATCTATAAAGAATGATGTTTGGGGCACCTGGGTGGCTCAGTTGGTTAAGTGTCTGACTCTTGGTTTTGGCTCAGGTCACAATCTCGGGTTTCGTGAGTTCAAGCCCCAAGCTGGGTTCTGCACTGACAGTGCAGAGATTGCTTGGGATCCTTTTTCTCCCTCTCACTCTGCCCCTCCTCTGCTCATTGTCTCTCCCTCTCTCTCTCAAAATAAATAAATTGAGGGGGGAAAGTAAAGAATGGTGTTTGCTTTAGCGTTGTTTCAAGACTGGTTATTCTGTTGGCTAATAGATCAGAAATAACATGAGATTTACATTTTTAGCATTACTTAGCAAATAATTCCAGTGCTTTTACATTTTACCCCTAGATTCTTTCACTTCTAATAAGATTTTCCTTTTTTTTCTGAAAATTTCTCACTCTTCAGAAGTATTTTGTATTTGACCGATGTTGAGTTCTACAACAGGATTTCATTTCCCTCTAAGGTTTATTTTCTCAGCTAAAGCCACTGGGACAACTCCAACTTTGTATTTTTATCAGGCCTTGTCCACAGCGTGTTGACACAGTGTTTGATGGGCTAGTTTCTAGATTGATGACTAGTGGTTAGAAAAATGCTGTATTTCCAAAAATACATAATTGAGAGATCAATCAATACAACCATGCACACCTGCAAGAGAATTCAGTTGGCCCGCAGGCCCCCAGTAGCTCAGCTAGGGGTGTCCTTGTCTTGGGCAGCCTAACTGTGTAAATAGGCCAAGTTGGTTCAGAAGACCAGATCTCAGAGCAGACTAAGACATGCTGCAGGACAGGAGAGTGGTAGGGTAATGGGGGCAAGATCACAGCTGAATGGATCATTTCAGGTGAGGAACTTCGGGGCAATGCATTCAACTCTTTTAAGAGACATCGACTACATAGATGCTGCTGGACACTAAGGAAAAGTGAAAATTATTTGAAAGGCCTCACTTCCATCCCAAGGAGACACCATTAGCTGGTGAATTAGTTTTTTTAGACAGTAGTAAGGATGCATCTTAGGATAGGTGAAGGACAAAGGAGCTCTCTCCAGAACTGGGCACTGAGCAAGTCATCAGTGAATGGTCATCTCGTAGTCAGAATCACAGTATGGCTCTGGGATGCCTTCTTTATTCACCTTTTTCCTTGCAACTTTATCTTAAGAGGTAGTGCTATAGCATAAGGCAAAGCCATTTCAGAAGCTAAGAGCCCTTGGGTGAAGAAAAAGTGTCTTTTAAAAGATAGGAATGATAAAAGTTACTTCTTTTCTGTCACCCAGTCCCATGTCCCTTGCCCTTTTGGTGCAGAATTCCAAGTGGAGTTGGAATGAAGTTGTTCACTTTCATACCTGCCCACTTTTCAGAGACAGCTATTTCTGAGACTGCCCCGTGGTGGGTCAAGGATGCCTTGAGAAGCCACCTAGAACAATTCACTTTATTTATTTGCCACCTGGCTCCAACTCTTCTGTCCCTTCCTCCACATCCTGAACAGCTTTAAAACTCAGCCT